ATAGACTATTTACAATCATACATGAGAATTCCGAACCAGGTTTATTCCTCCACAGGCAGAAAAGTAGGAGTCTAGGAGATCCCTGCGCTACTCTCTCGACTGGTCACTGGTATAAAACCCAGTGGAAATTAAAGCTAGAGGAGCTTGCGAGAGGAGTTCCTATGCTTGCAGGAATATATATAAGCTCTTAAATATATTTTAGTTTGTTATTATTAATAATTCCGGTTTCCTGACTGTGCCGTACTTTTTTTTTTTATTGGGGTTGAACATTTTCAAGTACTTCATCTTGAACTGACTGTATCACAGGTAACCAGCCTTTTTTAGCCAGAATAGGAAGGCCCAAGATTCTTTCGTGAGTACGTCACAAAATAATAGTCTATTCGCCTAAGTAAAATTCGAACCGAGGCCCTTTTCTCCTCTGAAGGTTTATTATTTACTGAATTATTAAAAAATAATTTCCACGGTGCTGTGATTTGCATCAGATTAACTACACGGAGTTTTACTCAACGGCTTGCCACATCAGAAGAGGAAGTAAATGCAATAGAATCAAAGGCTGTAACGCTAACCATCAGATAAAAAAGACCACTTCAGTGTAACCAACGACAAGACGAAATGTTTCCGGCGAAAGTACATTGCCAAAGCTGCCCCTTCCACAATGCATGCTCAGCAGCCAGCGAATGCTCGGACATTTGATTACGCCGGAACGGAACGATTAATGAAAGGAGCGGACAGTTGAAGGGAGGACGGGAAGAAGATGCGGCGAGGGAGGTGATGGAGTGCGCTACTCGAGGATCCTGGGTGTGCTTTCACTGGAACAATCCGATCGGGGGTCACTTTCTCGGCTTACTCAATATTAACGCTTTTCTCAATTTAGGGTAAAAAGTAACCGGTGACACATCCTCGTTTACCTGTTACTTTCATCCCCTCGTTACGGCCCAAAGCCCTCTGGTGACAGTTCTGTTTGATCGATAGTGCGGCTACTGTTTTTCTTAGCAACGGTTTATGAAAGTTAGTGTCCTCAACAATTACAAATTCTGAATAATTGTATTTAATAGACATCAGACGGATCCTTCACAGTCAGTGAGGAATGAAATCATTTACGATGATCCCTTCGCATATAAGTCATACATAAGTCATTTTAGTTCCGTTGATAATGAGACACCAGATATTGTGGGTGTGGTGCACTGTCCCTTAAGAATATCATTAATTTAAAAAAAAACACCGTTTGACTATAGTCCAAGCATTGGATAGTTCCACAAAAAATGGAACTACAATAACTGCTTTCTAATTCTTGGAAATTGTTTTTATTAAAGTTGAAAATATTAACCATTATTTAAATTGGAATGATATGATGACTTAACTGCCGGGTAAACTCCAGAACTTTAATATGTAATACTTAATTGAAATTTCGGAACTTCAATGTATATCTAAAGAATAATGAACGGTTGTACAATTGGAACAAGCATTAGTCATTGTTTTCGTCTCCAATTAAAGCCTGTTTGTAGCTAGCAAGAACCAGTTGACCCCGCATCTGTTGCCGGAAGCTGACGTAGGATTTTAAAATGGATACTAAGCGTGTGTAATCATAGTGTAATTAATATTTCAATAATTATAGAGACATTTTGAGCAAGCCAAAGTAAATACAACCAAATATGGTTAAATAGTTGTGCACATCTAAAACATACGTAATATGTTTTTACCTATCGGAATGTTGTCTAAGGGCTATGTGAAGTTGCGAGATCAGTCTAATAGTTGTGTGCAATAGTATAATTTCATATTTTATTTCCCTCTGCTATTTTCCTATTTAGGAGACTACTAATAGCAGTTGCATACAACAAAATGCCACCTTTGCCGCAAAAGGACTAAACATGTAAAATTGTTACATACGACTATTTGCACTAACCGTAGCGATATGTTTGTCTGCATATATAAATAATCAGGACAGTCGTAATCTAAATAACTATATATCGTAACTATAAATAACTATATATATAACTATATATCGTAATATAACTATAAAGCTTTATTTATAATAGTTTTACTGGGACCCATGCAAAGGTTGTGGCAACCCTCCCTCTCCCTCAAGTTGTGGTGGACCTGTCAAAGAGCCTCAGCAGTAAACCAAGATTCGATATGATAAAAAGATATGTGTTTTTAATTCCTAGATTATATTTATATAGATGGTTCACTTCATAGATATTGTAAGTGCAGATTTCACTGTTTGGAGTAAAAAATATTTAATATTTGACCGCATCCTGTAATTCCTTATTGAGTAATGCTCTGTGGTTCTGTTTATATTGGTTTAATTATATACATATCTCATTTTGCTTTAAAACATTTTTGGTGAACTATAATTACCCAGCAGTTTTCAACAGTTCTATAAATTGTTACATGTTGTTACAACTTCTGCGAACTTGACCAACGAAATTTGCTTCAAATGTGTTTGTCGATCTTAACAGTGGATTTCTGAGTTGTTTTTTGTCTTTTTTTTTTCCTTAGGTTTTAACTTTATATTCTCCATACTAAACAATGTTAATTATAATCTTTATATTTTTAAACTCTTTCATTGAATAAGTGGCCTAGTTCCTAACGAACTGTAAGATGGAAACTAATAAAGAATAGGTTAGTTCTAGTGGACTAGCGGCCAACGTTCACATACCGTTAGACCGTCCAACCTCTGAGCAAAAATTACTACTACGGGATGTAGGCGAGTAATGAACCAGCAGTCGTAGAGCATTTGTCGAACCATGTAATCTTATTGCTTGAAGTCTTCATGGAACATGAGTCGGCAATTATAATTCAGAGACAACTTCAGTAATCTCATCAATGTACCTACTTCGTCTCGGTTGGAATTGAAGAGCTTGTTATCAACTCAACTTGGATATGGGCATCATTAACAATGGAATGGCGACAAGAACTCTCTCTGTCTTCCAAGCTGAAGTTCTCTCTTCTAAACTTAGCGAACCACTAACGAACTGTTCTCCCTAGAGGTTAAAAAAAACTATGGAGCGGGCTTTTTACCACAAGATAGAAGTGAAAACATTAACAAGGTTAGATTAATAATATCAAATATAATATATAATATTATTCTTACTATTACCACTACCAATACCAGTATCAGTACAGGACAACTTTTCCTGAGGAGCGGTTACACTCCCGGAACGTCTATCACAGTCTCTTCGTCGCCAGCTCACATACCGTTCTAATCGTGCCAACGTTAACTGTTTCTAGGGACAACTGTTCTTATAATTGCTACATTTTTCTTATGGAGGAACAGCGCCGATTTGTTTTTTCCTCATAATGAGCCTTCCGTTCCGCCTAGGGTATTTTTTTTTCCCCCCGAAGTTATACAAGGGATGGTATGTAGCTCTAACGGTGGTTTCTTTCGACTTCTAGTTCTGTGCCTAACGAACGCCTTGCTTCCATGTTCGTGAAGGTTACGTTCATCGAATTTCAAAGGCTCCTCATCACAACGGTGTAACGGGGAGTAGAAGATTAATTAAGGCTTTAATATATCGAATGAACTTACTTGGGTAAATGTCGAGTATTACAGTCAGGTGGTATGCGAATAAGCAAATAAAGCTAAAAAGGGAACGTTTTGATATATTTAATGAAGTTTTTTTTTTCAATTGTCTGTTTGCATCGAAACAAATCAACTTGGTTGAATTGAATTCGCCAATACAATTCAAGTGATGAAGAACTTAAATGAGATTGTGACTACACTTTTTAAATAATAAAAACAAAATTTAGCGAAACTTAAATTGTGGTGCGTATTGGATATATGTTTTTAGTATTAATCATATAGTATTTAGCATCAAACTATGTTGATCAACTTGACACATTTAGAAATTATTCCGTGATACAGACACCTTTTTATCAAATTATTAATATTCGCCTGAAACTTCATAAACAGCTTCATCTCATCAGAACCTACAACAATTTTTTTACGAAAATTCTCGGAATTGGGATGTTTTCAAATTACAGATCGGCAAACTTTGTCTATTATGGTAAAAATTAATTAGGCACTAAAAACTCGTGTATACCCATTTGCTTTCCGCATTGATAGTAATATAATTTCATTACAAAATCGAGATAAAAGGTGGCTTACAAAAATTCAAAATAACGAGGTTATATACGCCAAACGGGCCAATATTTTTGGTAGCCACCTTTTTTCTCGATTTTTTGAGCAAATTAACTTACGATCCAAGTAGAAAGCAAATGGGAAGTTTTAGGCGGATTTTCATAATTTGACAAAATGTTCTGTACCACAGACTAAATAGATAAAATAAAACTTTCAATGATTTTATTGTTTTCCAAAAAGATATTAAATTTAATATTTATTCAAAATAAAAAAAATTTAATACCTATTTTATATTTTATTAATATTCAGTTAATAATGAAATATTAATTATTTTAATATGGATATTTAATATTAACCTCAATTTACATCTTCGTTTTAGACATATCGTAAACGATACAGCATATGCGTTATCGTTATAATCGAATTAACATCCATCATGACCAAACTCACCACAGATTATTTATTATGGTATAGACATATATTTCTTATACACATAAATACTATAGATATATATTTTTTATAAGGTTATTTAAAAAATATTGAGGTTGCAGCTAACACGAAAGGGGGGCGTAGATATAAAAGGTCTCAGGGTCAAGGAATATTTTCATCGTGTCCTTTCGCTTTGAAAGTACATTAACATCCTGGTACGACGAAAGCGAAGCCTTTCGCCCGGATAAAAAAAAAAGTATGCTACACTAAGTATGTCCGTGTATTCGGTCATAGATATATAAAGAATATTTGAAATATGTTCCAAATAAAAGAGCTAAACATTTTTAAATGTACTTAATACTGTTTTAAAAGTACAAATTTATGAGCGTACAGTCACATAAATTTGAACTAAATAGGTGAGGGGTTTATTTTGTTTATATAGCTAGATATACAAAATGGAATGAATCAGATCCGTGCAAAATTGCTTCCTATGTTGGTCCATGCGAGGATACCGTATTCGCCTTGGACCAGCAACCCACACAGAATCGGCTTCAAGGTAATATTGAATGCAAGCTCAATTCATTCGATTGATTCCATCGACACTGGTCAAAATTTTATCTACATTTGGGGAATATGCATTATGCAATGATGCCTTAAAAAAAAAGATAAGTATTTGAAGTTTTTCTCAACGAGGGCGATTCATTAGTAATAGAATAGAGAATAAAACTAAGAAAATCTATAAATTATATAACAGTAACAAGTAAATATAATATTCCTCGACTAAAAAGGAATTATTTTTTAACTTTTAAATTTGTTTATAATTAATTATAGATAAAATTATATATGTGACATAATATTATATAATTATTTAATTATATAATATTTGAAGACAAGTTGATTGAGATGTTCAGTCAAAATACCAAGTAAAAATAAAAAAAATATTAATTTTTATTCTTAATCACTTGACCGAATGACAAACTCCAATTTCAACATTTTTGATTATTAATTTTAGTGATGCTCGCCTGATTGTAAATAATGTATATAGATATGCATGTGTTTTTTGCTTAATTTTAATTTTCTTATTTTTAGGTTATTTTATTTTATTTATTGTATATACTTTTTGATTATTATTAATTGTTATTTTGCTTCTATTTATTTTATATTTTTTGTACATATAGTGTGAATGTTTTCATACCTCACTATAATTAATGTCCAAGTGACAGATTGTTGTAATACTCAATAAATAAATAATTTAAATCTGGATTCAACTTACTCACTGTCTGGACAGATATTACAAATTTTCCAACTAGAAATATCACTAAAATTACTTTACTCAAAAATGTTGAAATTTAAGTCATTCTGCCAACTGAAAGGCTCATATTTATTTTACCCCGTATATTTTTATTCCTGATCAGTGGCTTAATATCAAAGACGAACATCTGTTATTTTAAAAAGTTGACAAAAAGCAAAGTTCCTTTAACATAGCTTCAATTTAAACAGATTCTCATCATTTGTTTTTATGGTTTAATTTGAACATTCATCAGAAATGAAATAAAATCATCAGAAATATATTTGAGTTGAACCTATGAAATCAAAATTTTTCTGCGCTTTATGAAAATTACAGGTATTCGTATTTAATATGAAGCCACTCCTATATATAAATATATTTACTTATTTTAACTTTGTATTTTACTGAACATCCCAACCGACTTCTCTTTTTACTATAGTCAGCCATCTATCCACAATCATAATTATATAATATCTTTAAATAATATATTGTTTCTCATGGCTTCTCTCCTCTGTCCTTTTTAACACGTGAAAGGGAGATATTTTTATTTTTACTAAAAACCTGGCTGAGATAGATTCTAATATACCATACTAGTACTTCAATACTTGGATAACGGCTTTGAACAGAAAACGAAAATACTTAAATAAGTATTTCTAGCTCAATGCTCATCTACTTATCACGATAAAGAAATTATAATCAGTAAAAAGGTTTAGCAAGATTTTTTCCTAAGTGCAAACAAAAATTACGCAAAAAACGATAAAAGTGCATGGCTGAAAGTAAAATTATCGGTTATTAAAAGTAAGAGGATTATTTCATCTTTCAAATTAATTTAAACAAACTCCTTGGGCCATTCTAATCTACATCTTTTATTATATTATAACACCACTGTAGTGTGTTTGGTGTAACTTGAGAAGCCAGATATTGTATAATGGACATAATAGGGGATGCAAAGGTTGGTGGAATAGAACTTGGAGCGGAAGGGTACTTACCCTGATTGGTAGAGTTGGGTAAGGTCAGACGCTTTTTGATTCTTCTGTTTCCCCGTCCTAAGTCTCAAGTTATATCAAACATTCAGAGTGTACAGTTTTATTTATTTATATGAAAAGAGCTTTTGAACTCAATCAAATATTTCATAAAGTTAATGCATAAATTTAAAAATTTGGACTGAATTTTATTTACTGTGGTGACCCATTTCAAAGTATGTTTGACCATTAAAATTTTTTTTTACTTCTGGCAATATAACACATCTCATACCATCAAATTTAGGGAGTTATAAATTAAAAAAAAAATACTATAAAGGTAGAAACACGAAAAACAACAATAGATAATATCACCCACCACCTTCTCAGAATTTTCATTTCAATTATTACCTAATCGTAATCACTGTCATATCTAAACTAAGGCGAAATCATTTAAATATCTTTAACATTTAAAGTTAGGTTATAGTCCGTGGTACAGACCCTTTTTATCAAATTATTAACATCCACCTGATATTTCGTGAATAGCTTCATCTCATCGTAACCTACAACTATTTTAATCACGTAAGCTCTTGAAATTGGGGCGTTTTCAATCTGGAAATCAACAAACTATGTCAATTAATTAATAAATTAATTAGGTACTAAACATTCGTAAATATTCATTTGCTTTTCACTTGGATCGTAAGATAATTCGATTACGAAATCGAGAAATATGACGAATTAAATAAATATTGGGCTGTTTGTCCTTTACAACCTCGTTATTTTGACATTTTGGAGGTGTAAGTCACGCCGAACCGCTCAATATTTTTGAACCTTTTTTATTTTTGTGCAGAAATTATCATACGATTAAAGTGGAAAGCAAATAGGGATTTAGGAGTTTTTAGTACCTAATTAAATAAATAAAGTTTGCTGATCTGCAAAGTGAAAACACCCCAATTTCAAGAGTTCCGAGAAGTCTCGTTAACAAAATACTTACTCTGGTGGATGTTAATAATTTGATCTGTACCAGGATGTTAAAAAGGGATCTGTATCACGGACTATTAGGTTACGTAATTTTTTATCACTCAATATTTTAAGTCATTACTGCTCTTCTTCAATTATTTTGAGTTAATTTTTTTTTAAATATTTCATTGAAAAATATTGTTTTTTAAAAAGAAATTTAATTTGTTTTCCTTTCCTCGTGAGGTTATCTCGAAGTATTTTTTGGAGGTTTATTTCAATTCATAAAATTTAAAAATTAAAACATTTACATTAAATTAAACATTTATTTTTATTAATCGAACTGAAAATATTTGAGAATTATTATAATATTTATAATGGGCTGTTAACTTGTAATTGGTTATTTGTTTTTTTTAACAGTTCTTAAATACTGTCTGGGATGAAAACTAACTGCAAATCTTCATTTTAACTTTTAAACTGAATGATAAAATTTTTAAACTAATTTATTTTACCTAAGTAAGTATTTACATAAGTAAGAGAACGCTGCCAATTTTAAAAGACAATTATTTTTAATTGAAAAATTGCTGTTATTTATTTTACTTCCAGATCTCGGGAATGTCCTATCCCTTTTTTTAAATTGTAAAGATAATAATAGCTATGTGAAATAAGATATTTTTTATTAAATATCGGTATTAAAGTAGCAAAAATATATAAGCATACTGGGACAAGCGTGCCTAATCAATATTTTTGACGAGTCTCCATTAAATAAATGTTAATTTATATAAATGATAAGTCTATTTTGGAAGAATAGGTATCTGGATTAGGCTGAATCGGTAACATTTTGAAATTTGTGGATAATTTTTGAAGTGACAAAGTAAGGAGCTTGAGGATTTCGGATTGTAAGGATTGTATACGAGAGGAATTTGATGGTTTAGTGGAATCCGAAAGGTCAACTCCATAAGTCCAAATAGGCTTCATTGCGGTCCAGTAAGTGAGTATTTTATAGTTAATTGGAAACTTAAAGCGTTCGTCTAGTGAGTGTCGGAGCATCCGGAAACGTGGAGCAGTTTCTTGTCGTTTCAGTCTTGTATGAGGATTCCAAGTAAGTCGTTTGTCCAGATGGATCCTTTGATAGCGGATCTGTTCAGCAGTGGTAAATGCAGTACTCTTAGAGGAAACTGTAGTCATTAATTTATTTAATTCTCCGATTTCGACACTATTCTTCAAGGCTATATGGCTCATGAGTTTGGGAAGTGACGAATAGGTCATTTTTATCTGATAAAATGTGTATCACCACTATATGTGGTAATAGTAGCACTAGAATGAGTTGAAATATCTAGTAGAGGATGGGGCTGAAGACACTACCTTGAGGAACATCAGCTGACTCAGATAAGAGTTTTGAATAGGCATCATTGTGGTTTACCTTTAATATTTTTAACTTTTGATTTAAATTATTAGTTTTGTCAGTTTATATTCTATAATTTTTTTTTCTTGGATAAACTTTATATCTGTTTATTGAGAAATAATACATTTTGCCACACTTAAGGGCACTGAGTACTAAGGCTGAGTGGGGCACATTCATATATATATATTCATCAATATACAATACAATAAAAATAAAAAAATAATAATAATAAAAAATATACATCAATATAACAAAGGCAAAAACTATATAAACCAAGGAAATGTAACTTAGACTTAAAATTTAAATAAAATACAGAAATTCGTAGTAAAATTAAATAAACTATAAGTAAAAGAAATAAATAGAAAAACATTCATACTTAATTACAATATTTACGGTCAGGCAAGAGGTATCCGAGTCTAGCCCTTCCCCCCACGTGTGAAGTACAAAGCGAGACTCAAAGAGATCCCAGCACTTCTCCCTCAACCGCTTCGCCGGCATTACCACTATTCTATATTAGCATAGCTTATCAAAGGATTGATAATAATGAAGGGAATACATTTACGGTTTATATTTGAATTAAAATGTTCACGCAATTTACAAAGTATTAACTGTATTTTCTAGCTAGTTTAATATTAGGTATTACCAATGCCTCAACATATGGTATGGATCATGTTGGAGAAAGATTGGAGTGATTGGCCAGTTGAAGCTCTGTGAGAGAGTAGCTGACAAAGAGGCGTACTTTAGTACTGTTATCTGAACGAGCCATGCAAATGCTATCAGCCTTCCGACGGTACAATACTCCGAGGTTCCCACACACCTATCTCTTCCTGCCTCCACGGTAAAGTTCTCCGCTCAACTCTCTTCCAGTCACTGAACTATATAAATAATAATTGTACTATCCTAGAGAATATATTATGGAACGATCGACTTGAAGAAAGCGTATCGTTTCTGAAAGTCACCGTGCTCTTAATTATTCAGACATCAGAGAAACAAGATGGAGATAACGTCAGGATTGACAACGGCACATCTGCAAAGATAACGTTAATGAACCGTCTTCTGCATCCGTCAGGTGTCGCCGACACGTTTCAGATCGCTTGCAATTCTATTGTTCTTCGGCCTATCTCGAGAACTCGCGAGCGTTTAATATGTATCATTTACCGAGATAAGGCTACGCCACTCCTTCGAGGCAAAAACTCAGAACAATGTCTTGAGGGGAAGTAATGATCGTGTACAAAAAAAAAAAAGTTCTGAATATTCATACTTCGAGTACTCGTGTAAACATTTATGGCAACGATTTGCACTACATTTCCTATCTTAAAAGATCTAAAAATTACGACAAATAACCTACAATTCGAACATATTAACTTTATTCAAAATTTACAAGGAAAAAATCTATTTAAATTTCCTTACAGAATACTGTTACTTTATTCAATTACACATATTTATTTTTTACAATTATTATTCGTAATGCAATAATTTTCTCTAAAGGGAATGGTGTACTTAGTCAACGTGAAAACGGTGTTTTTACATCTAGAATTTTATCCGTTCTTAAATTCAATGATAAACGATATTGATTTGGATATAATCCTATAGGTTGGATTTGCAACCAAGAATAATGTCTAGAATACTAGCAACTTTATTTTAATATATTATTGCATAGGTGGGAAACCTTATCATCATTAGAGACCGCAATAATTCTTTATATTTTACTGTTGCCATTTTTATTTATCACTAAATACACACACCGATATACATATATTCAACTTATTTCTATTTATCTTCAAAGTTTGTTAACTAAAATAATTAAATATTAGTTAATTCTAGCGCTGGATTGACGAATATCACGCAAGCGTTTGGAGGTCGCAGCTAAGTAGGTTTCCCACCTATGTGTTATTGTACAAAAAATGAGTCACTTTTTTAAAAAAAATTGCATAACAATTGCAAAAAAATTACATACATTTTTTAATCAATTGAGAATGTTATTTTTTTTTTATAATGAGTGAGAAATCGTCCAAGAGCCTTTTTAAATAAATTTTACTTTTACGATTTTTAATAAATAAATATTTTTGTAAACTAAAATAACTGTTTAATTTTTTTTTCACACTTTATTAATTTAGCAAAGACGTTTAAGTTTTTTAAAAAGCTGAATAAGTAAGCATTGAACTATTATAAAGATCACTATTACTAATGAAATAATTCAAATGCACGTTTAAAACCCAACACCCACGACCAACAAAGACTATTTAAAATTTTAATAATTAAGATTAAAAAATAAAACAAATTTGCAATGAGGAACTCAATAATGACAAACTATCTTTTCGCTTCCTTATTGACTCATCTTTGGTAACTTATTGAATCATTGACTCAAGCTAAACCGCTGTTAATTTTAGCATTCCGACGCGTACAACGTAAGCCCATGGCGTCATCTACGAAATTGTAAGATGAGCATGGATTATAACACCAAATAAGAATCTATCTTGTTTAAGATTTTTTCAAAGTACTCTTAATAGCAACGTATCATCAAACAGTAGAATATTACAATTGAAATTTTTTATTAAATAAAATCACAAATATTGATAATCAGTAAATTTTATTGTGAGATATTTATAGTATTTCAAACATAGGAAAGCACTATATAATTAAGTAATTTCTTCGATGCATTTACAACGATAGGTTTTTCATAAAGTAAGTAATTTTTTTTTAGATTTCCGTTCCTAATTAATAATAACTTATTAATATTTATTTTGTGGGGAAAAGACGTTCAAACGTTGACTATGGAAGTGAATAACATTATTATTATAAAGATAATTAATTATAACAACTTAGTTTTACTGTTCCATTTATAAATAAATTGAGCAATAATTACCTCCGTACAGGATAAACCTTCAAATTAGAAGTTTATTACTGGACCTGGGGTAGGAAGAAACTTGTAAGGATATAAGCCTGCAGTAATAGAGCTTAGTCCGAAAACTAATTGCAACTTTTAGGTCGCCCTTGGGTTAAACGAGCGGGCAGTAGATTGGCAATTCTTGTCTGGCTTACCTTCACCTTAACTGCTCGCTTTATCAGTATTTCACGTTTGTTATTGTCTTTCTCACTTGTGAATATTTAATTTTCTGCATTCATCAAAAGGTATCGCTATTATTCTACATATTTTTTATAACTGTTCAATCCATTTACAAGCCTAAAAAGAGGGAAAAATATTTCTTCATTTGATACCTTTTCTCTCAAAATTGAAATGAACCAATTCATTTTATTCTGGGACTAAAGTCCCTATAAAATAATAACAGAGTTCAAATAATACATACATCAGTCTGGCAGGTGGATATGATTAGTGTTGCAAAAATGTGAGACCGAGACGAGTCTTGGTCTTGCAAGCTCAATCTTGGTCATGGTCTTGGTCTTGCGCAAAAGTCTTGCAGTTACTTGTTAGCTTATTACTAAAAATATATTACTGTAATTTTTTAGCTAGGAGAAACCTAAGTAAGCCCGAATGAAAAATTAGAGGAGTTAAATGCAAAAGTATATTGGTTGTACCAATTAATAACATATAGTAACTATGATTGTCAAGTATTAGTAACTATTTTGACTTAATTTTTATTTTTAAAATCGATTTTTTTTCCAGTCCTGGTCTTGGTCTGGCAACAGTTAGGCGGCCTTGGTCTTGGTCTGGCAACAGTTAGGCGGCCTTGGTCTTGGTCTTACAAAGTGCAAGACCAAGACCAATTTTGGACAATACTAGATATGATACAGATATATATATACAAAAAGATACAGATATACACAAAAAATACAGAGTGAAAAATAAAAAGGCTCTTATCATTTAACTATTGGTGAGCAATTGTATTTGAAAAGCCTAACAATTTTTATAAGCTGGTGGAAGTTTGAATGTGTGGTAGGCACTAGCGCATTTTTGAAGGGCCTTCAGCCCGATATATTTTTTTTTCATATACATATAACAACAATTGATTAAAAAGAAATTAACTACCGATATGAAAAGGTGTGTTAAGTTGTTCTTGAAGTCCCATTAAATGTAATTACACGAACAAGAATACTTTAAGAATTAGTTTTTAATATATTTTTCTGTAAAACATGGTTATATTTTATCATTTTGGGGGAGGCTTCAGTCCGAAAAGGAGCCGGGTAAAGCCACTTCAACTCGGTGCATAGGGAGGAAACATGGGTACGTCTGGGAATACTAAAGATGAATCTTAGGAAGCAATTCATGATAAAAATTACAATATTATTGGTGTTTTGAATTTCTGAGGAGAGAAATGTTAATAAGGTTACAAATTTTTGGAAGGAACCTATATTTGTAGGTAAATTGAAATCCAAAAACATAGGTTCTATAGAGTTTTATTATAATTGTACTAAGTAGTGTCTGTCATCAGTCTCAAAAATTTGAATTGAAAATTTTTTTTTTTTTTAAAGTTCATCTGAACAGTAAATGTAAGGTTCATATCCACATAGGTTTAAGGGTGTATGTATGATTTAATAACTGTTTAATTTTCAGCTTTTTCGTTTTGAAGTGTGAGCTCCATTTTTTTTTCAAAAAATTTTTTTTCACGATCTCAAGTAATCATTATAATTATTTTCGGTTTCTACTTTTAAATACATATTTGATAAAATAAAAAACTTCATAAAGTTCTTCTTTATGACTATCATGATATCGAGCTATCAAAAGCTAAGGAAAAATAAAAATGATAAATTTGAAAAGTTGCTCTGACACGAAGATATGACGTAGCGAGCTCGATCAGAAACTTCGTAAATGAACAAACTTTTATCAGCGGTTCCAGCGAACTGGCTTCTGCTGATAGAGGCTGTTTAGTTCGTGTCTTCGCTTCAAGAACCATTAATAGAACTAGAACTTGCTGTATTCATGAGTATTTAATGAATTAATTTATTGAGCTGTACGAAATAAATTTATTTTGTTATTGTTTTTTTGCGTTAGTACTAGTGATATAAGCCGGAAGAGAAAACTCTCATCCATTCAATTCCTTTCTTTAGCCCAGGGCATCGCTTATGAACTACTTTTACTCCCGGCTGTATTTTCATTTTCTAGAATAGATTGTACCTTGAAGAAAACGTTATACTATAAGAGGTACCACGCACTGATGTTATTAAATAAAAGTGATTATTCGAGTTTTTTAACATATATTTAAAAATGATATCAGTTTATAATTTTTGAAATTTTTAATTTAACAACAGATTCTGTGAAAATCTTCATAAGCATCATTTCAGAATTGTTAGTGAACATTAGAAATTCGGACATTTTGTACTTTGAAAATTATTTCTGATTTTATATTAATAAAAATAACAAAAATTTTCATTTTCTTTTCCTCAAAAAAAAAAAATGAAATATGATTTTTCTTTTTTTTTTTTTTTGTGGGGAGGTAATAGTCAGTCATCATGACACAGTCAGTTTTTATTGAAGGACGTTTGTCAACTGTTCCACATTTCGTGGGTAATAGATTTTTTGTTATGTGATAGTTTTTTATTGCCAACGTTTTCCAAGCTTGTGGGTCATCACCAGGGCATGTTACTAGCACGAAAGATCCAAGTAATCGTTTTTAAAACGTTGGCATTAAAATTCTTAAAGGAGTACTTGAACATCTGCAGTATTGATAACATGTCCTAATGATGATCTACAGTTGGGGTTGAACTGTTGACAGTAAAAATCTTAAAAACTACATAATATAAAAATCTATTTAGAAAATTATGTAAAACAATTGGCTAATATCCTTTAATAAATATGATTTTTATAACAAATCATTTAAAATTGAGGAAATAAATTTTCATTATGACTGGTCAGTTTTCCAAATTTACATTTGACTGTTTATAATAATCTATTACAGGTTAACTTAAAGGCTACTTCTTATGGCTTTCAAAATAGTTTTCTAGATAGAAGCGCTGAATGTCCCATTTGTAATACACGTGAACCCGAAGATTTATAGCATTTTCTGTTGCATTGCTCTACATATATAGCTTTCAGACATAAGTATTTAAATGAATATATTGATGGTAAATGTGACGATACAGATCAAATAGTATAATTATTAGATATAGAAAACAAATCCAATGATTTAAACTGGTATGTAGAAAGTTGTTTAAAATTAAGAGACCTATTTTTGTTTGTTCAAGAATAAATCGATTCATCTATTTTTAATGTTAATTAAGTTTAAGGTTATATATAAATATAATATTAGGACGAAGCATT